CTAATGTCATATAGTTATGAAGGCTAGCTAGCTTTAAGGTGAGTGGGTAAAGGGCGGTAAGCTACTGCTATCTTGCAAGCCCAGGTGAGGGAAATGAACCAGGTCAGTCTCCGGGCATAGGGTTTCCAATGAACAAGTAATGTCAACTACTAAGGGTCATGTTTACCTTTAGCATAGTCTTTGGGTTTACATCAATCGAACCCCGTAACTAGAAGAGAAGTATTGTAACACGGACATTAGTGATTAGACTGGACTGCCTTTCATACCAACATAGTCGCCGTAGCATCTAAGTGAGGTAGGCAATGGTAAGAACAGTGGTTTATTGTTCTGATGCATCCTTGAAGCCGTAGCTATCAGAAAAAAGGTATCGGGTGCGACCCACTGATATTTTCTGAATTTATCATGTTACCTGAGTGTTTCTATTGAGCTCTCCCAGTACATGGTTTGGCGATGGTGCCCTTCCTGAATGTGGCTAGTCAACATGGCGCTAACACAGGCCACATACAAAGAAACGAGCGGCAGTCTGTCCGCCAGCTCCTTGATACTCTTCGCTTACATCCCGCTATGAAGCTCAACAATGCGCCCCGTCGCCCATGGAGGGCAATATGGCGCGATCGATAAGACTGTTTCTGATCCGCCACGGAGAGACAGTGGATAACATTGCCCAATTATAGTAAGCACCCCATCAACTCGTCCTCTTCACAGCACTCGATGCTGACTGTTTCAGTGCCGGCAGTAGGGATTCAGCCCTTACCAATCATGGCTACCAACAGGCCATCTGTTTAGCCCGATACCTCCAGTCCCTCGGGCTGACCTTCACCCACTTGTTCTCGTCGCATCTGCAGCGGGCTGTGAAAACAGCCAGCAAGATACGCGAGGCTCAGTTGGCACCAGTAGGCGACAATGAGACTGTGAGAACGGCTCCCAAGGTTGTGCAGCTACCGGTGTTGGCGGAGAAAGATTTCGGATCGATGGAGGGAAAGAGATTCAACAACCATCCGTTTGAGACGGGCACTTCTGGCAAGGACCATCGTCGGCAAGAGAACAAGCCTACAACAGGTTTCGCGGACGCGGAATCGAAGGAAAGTATGGCACGTCGCGCAGATGCCTTCATCGAGGAATATCTTCTACCTCTATTCGACGACTCTTCTAGCAATTTTACCCCTGTTATTGCTATTGTTTCGCACGGAATCTTCCTCTCTACTCTTTGGAAGCGCATACTGTTGCGTATTTCGCGTCGGAAGGTATGTCTGTCTCATGGTATTAAAGGGACGGTACGACAATCGCTAGAGCATCTGGGTGGCTGGTCAAACACCGGCTATCTCGAGTTGTACTTCACAAGGACGGAAGCCGAGTACCACAGGTCAACCATGGAGGCGACTACGGCGCAAGTCACAATGTCTCCAGAACTGCGTACTGAAACTTTAACTGCGCCTCAAAACCTCCGCAATGGCCATATACCAAGATCTAGAGCAGAAGGTACAGCACAGCTGGTGATTGGTGCCCCGCAAGCCTCTAGGCCGCGTGGCCTACAAGGATGGTCTACGTTCATTCTCAGAGTCAACAGCAAGGATCACCTACAAGGCCTTAAACGCGCGCGTGGCGGTGTTGGTAGTTCACGGTACGACGCGTCACAGAGGTGCATCGATACCTTTTTCAAACGTCGTAAAGTCGAATGAGGGAGTAAGTCGAACCGTTTCCTCTTCCTGTTCCTTCGCATATGCAATGATGAAAAAACATTTTATCACAGACCTGATCGGAATTCGCTGTCGACCAAAATTTGTATCCAACTGCTGTCTGATTGCAACTACGATTTTCCGTTTCACGTTCATGTATCTTGAAGACACGGGCTAACAAGAAAAATTAAAGGTGCTAGGCGGAGCTGCCGTGGCTTGAATTAGCTCGAGTCACTAATAGATAACAGTGCACTTCTCTGACCTCCTAAACCTTCTTGGTTCATGATTGTGATCTTTTGTCGTGTCCTTATCATTATCCTTTCAAAAGGAACACTGCCGCGGCCCCGCTATCCACATGCGAAGCATACACTTAACGCCAGTTGCCGAGTTCAATCACTGCTCCCGGCGGTGTATCTGTTCAGTGACTATCCCACATGTGCGTAGGCGAAATGCTTTGATAATTTACAAGTCTCATTACATGTGCAAAGCGGTGCGTTCGTGTCACGCCGCCATGTTTGCTGAGTCGCCTTTCCGTGGAAAAGGCCCGTGCAGCTGCCATCACATCACTCACCGCACCATAACAGCATCTTGGCGGTCATGCCCTGCGCCCAAATAGATAAACCGGAGGGTTTCGGGTCATCTCCGGTGGCGGCGTGCAGGCGCTGCGCTACGATGAACGTAGTTGCGTGCGACATCGTGTTTCCCGGCGGCAGGTTTTGGTGGGTGGCTGGTACACGCGAGATCCCAGCCTCATCGCAACTACTCCGGCCTTGGAATAGAGTTTTCATCAATCTTTTCTGGTATTAAAACAAAGGGCCCCAGAGCTAATCTTGGTCGCGACTAAAATAAGTTCCAAATTCTCCGCTCGCTGATTTTCATTCTTTGGAAGTGAAGATTGGACCGTGAAATTAGCGCCTGGCTAATAGTAGGAGCGCCTCACGGGTCGTACGATCAGACTTCCACATTCGTTCACTATGAGAAGCCCTTCGGTATGGATGCTGGGTGCGATGTCGACGCGTGTACTCGGTAATGCTGTGCATAAAATCTATGAGATGAATGCAAGTAAGTTAACCATATACGTCCTGCTATTGTGAGGGTCAAGATTACTGACTTCCACAGCTACATCTGCTGTAATCCTACCTCCGTATCCATCTGGCTCAAGAGCACCTGTTCTGCTATCATCAACAGAGCCATGCGAAACACCAACCAACCCTTCGATTTGGTCCACAGCAAGCATTGTTCCATACCCGACTGTATCCCCAGCAACTAGCTCTTTTCCCACCCCGACAGCAGTATCGGTATCTCCCAGTTCACATGTCCTGGATGTACATCCTCTTACTGTTACGACCACCCCAAGCGGCACCAACACTCCGTCGTCAGCTTCTGGATCAGCCAGCTCCTCCCAAGTAACATTCACAGCCATTGTTGTGCCAGCTTCGACAGCCACCTATACTATAGACCTCCCGGTCCTTTCCTCCATATTAATCCCCGGTCTCACCCCATCGGCCATTCTGACACAAACTGCGACAACGAGTACTAAGGTCAGCCAGACTTTGTCCACTTCTCTTCCGACGCTTTCTTCTGGCTCCACTTCAAGTGCGCCGGCTACTACAACCACCTCAGTCGCGGTTGCATCCTCAATCTCAGCTACATCCTCGGGCTCAGCCATAACCTCAGGCTCAAATTTATCGTCTGGCTCAGCTATATCGTCCGGCTCGATTATATCATCGGGCTCGGTCACATCCCCAGGCTCAGTAACATCCTCAGTACCTTCTGGGACCTCTACCACTGAATTTCCTACCTCACCACCTTTTTCGTACAACCCCTCCGCTTCTAGGGGTTCTGCTACTCCTATATCGAGGCCTACACCAGAGCCCTCCAGTGCTATCGTTGCGGGATCTACATTAAGTACATCCTCGACACCCAGCCCAACCGCAGAAACAGAGATCCCACCTGCACCACCTGCACCAAGTGCTGCTGGAGCTCCTGGCGGGTTGAGCGGGAGAGGCAAAGAGAGGGTATGGTGGGTTGCTTTCTTTGTTCCTTTCTTACTTGCAGTTTAAACTGGCGCATTTCACATCGGCATTATGTGCTACGAGAGGTTACTTTGCGTTTCCTAGATTTGATATTCTCACGATGTCCCCGAAATCCTTTTACGGGCAGAGTTATGAAGAGATGGTTATACCAGGTGCTAGCACCATGCAGGCGTTTATGGGAGTGTTGTTTTCCAGGTTCGGTTGACGGACGAGGTGGACGAAGTGTGCATGAAATACTCAACGATAAGTTCAGAGCTTCTGGGGTTTACCAGATAACAGATAATATATGAATAAAGATAGTATATACGATAATAGGAGTTTTCGATGAGCCTTCTTATGTTGTATCAAAAATCGTAGATGCACTCATCTTCAATAGTTTGATTGTGTGGACAGCAGACGTTTCTCCGCGGCCATGTACAGCTGCAAGTCTGTGGTAGAGCTTCCGGAACCGCATCCTAGTTCCCGTGAACCTTTAGGAATTGCACACGATCTCCTGAGATAGTCCTAGTGTCAAGTACTACGAAGTATGGGAACCCGGGGTTACCAAGAAGCAAATAGCATTGCTGGTCGAAGATCTCGGGCTTGGAAGCGGGGGAGGAGCGGCTTCGGCTAGTACAGCCACCATTTCTTCCGTCAATCAAACCAGGAGCTACACACTATTCCTGTCACCCTCTTTGCTGATCATTGACACACCATCCAGTTCATGTCCCAGATTTGGTAAATTTTGGATAATTGATGGTTTTAGAAAATTAGTTCTAGTAGTTTTCCCAGAGACTAGCATTTATCGAGCTCAAGTAAACTCCACAGTCAGATGCGACGTCATCACTGACTTCAATGCCAATGACATAGCATCTCTCATTAACCATTGAGCCGGTACCTTAATATACAGCGACCATGTCGGGGGACATTTGTCCGCGGTACATCATTGAGTTTATGTACATCCTCCCACCGGCCCGCACACCCCGGTGGGAACGTACTTATAAGAACGGTGATACCTTGTCTATATCCTAGTATTGTCTAGATAAGTTATACTCGTGTTTCAATTTAAGATGCGCTCGCCTTTCTACAGCGCAGCCTCTCTCCTGGTTGGGTATATTCTATACCTTCCCAGTAGGGCTAACGGTCTTGCCCGAAGAAATGACACGGCACAGGCAGTGTACAAGGATGCTGCTGCTCCCATCGAGGACAGAGTTTCTGATCTTCTTTCGCGGATGACAATCGAAGAGAAAACAGCTCAACTTATCCAAGGCGATATCTCAAATTGGATTAACACTACCACCAATGCTGTCAACCAGACCGGTCTAGAGTGGAACTTTAGGGTCCGCGCAGGTCAATTTTATGTCGGCTATCCCATGCCCGCAGAGTGGATCAGCAATGGCATCAAGATTGGCCAGGAATACCTCAAGCAAAACACAACCCTAGGCATACCGGCCCTGGTTCAGACTGAGGCTATACATGGCTTACTGGTGGGCAATGCGACCATCTACAACAGCCCTATTGGTCAAGCTTGCTCGTTCGACCCAGAACTAATCCACGAAATGGCCGTGGCTATCGCAAAGGAGTCGCTAGCTTTGGGCATCAACCAGTTGTTCGCACCACTCGCCGACCTAGCACGCGAGTTGCGTTTTGGAAGAGTAGAAGAAACATATGGCGAAGACCCCTTTCTGGCCGGAGAGATGGCTTATGAGTACGTCAAAGGCGTGCAAAGCCTCAATGTAAGCGCTACTGTGAAGCACTTTGCAGGTTTCAGCGCTCCCGAACAAGGTCTGAATACTGGGCCAGTCCACGGAGGCGAACGAGAACTTCGAACCACATGGCTTCCGTCTTTCCACCGCGCCATTATTGACGCTGACGCTTGGAATATCATGGGAGCATACCATTCGTATGACGGCATACCTTCGATTGCCGATGGCCATCTTCAAGAGACGATTCTGCGTGACGAATGGGGCTACAAATATTGGCTGACTTCAGACGCTGGGGCTACGGATCGCCTTTGCTGTGCTTTCAAACTCTGTCAATGCAAAACTAATGATAAGCCAATTGACAGCGAGGCTGTGACACTGATGGCTCTCCCGAACGGCAATGACGTGGAGATGGGTGGTGGATCCTACAATTACGCAAACATCCCTCGCTTGGTGGAGGAAGGAAAGCTGGATATCGAAATTGTCGACAGGGCAGTTAGTCGCCAACTGCGTGCGAAGTTTCAGCAAGGACTCTTCGAACATCCATACCAGGGACTCCCTCTGGATGAAATCGACTCTGCCATTCACACCGACGAACATGTTGCACTTGCGCGGAAGTTGGAGGCCGATTCGATTGTCCTGCTTGAGAACAAGAACAACGTACTGCCACTATCGAAATCTGCCAATGTCGCCGTCATTGGCCCCATGGCCAACATTACAAACCTTGGCGACTACGTAGTATACCGTTCACAATATAACCCCACCAATGTCACGCCTTTACAGGGAATCCAAAAGGCATCAAACGGCACTGTAACCTTTGCTCAAGGCTGTGAGCGCTGGTCAAACGACCAATCCGGGTTTCCTGACGCAGTCGCAGCAGCCAAGGCAGCTGATGTCGCCGTCGTCGTCGTCGGAACTTGGTCGCGCGACCAGCAAGAACTGTGGCAAGGCCTCAACGCCACAACAGGCGAGCACGTTGATGTTGCATCGCTCAATCTCGTCGGCGCCATGGGCCCCCTCGTGCAAGCCATCATTGAAACTGGAAAACCCACAATCGTCGTTTACTCTTCTGGAAAGCCCGTCACAGAGCCTTGGATCTCAGACAACGCAGCAGGACTCTTGCAAATGTTCTATCCTGGTGAGCAGGGTGGAAATGGTCTAGCCGATGTGTTGTTTGGTGACGTTACACCTTCGGGCAAGCTTTCCGTTTCGTTTCCATACGATGTCGGAACTCTGCCCATCTACTACGACTACCTGAACTCTGGTCGATCGACTGACCCCGGTGCGATACTAGCAAATGGAACGCTCAAGTTTGGTCACCAATACGTCCTCAATACCCCGCAGCCGCTGTACGAATTCGGATATGGCCTCTCGTATGCGAACTTTACGTACTCCGACGCCAAGCTTTCTAAAACGGAAGCAAGTCCAAGCGATACTGTGACTGTGACTGTCAGCGTCACGAACACCTCGCCTGTCGATGGTAAGGAAGTTGTGCAAGTTTACGTTCAGGATGTCTTTGCTAGTGTTGTTGTGCCGAACAAGGAACTCAAGGGATTCAAGAAGGTGTTGGTCAAGGCGGGGGAGACGGTGGATGTCTCCATTGATTTGGATGTATCGAAGTGGGGGCTTTGGGATAGGAAGATGAAGTATGTGGTTGAAAAGGGAGATTTCATCGTTCATGTGGGGTCTAGTTCGCTGGATTTGAGGGGAAATGGGACGGTAACTGTTGTCTAAGTGGAGCATGATCGAGAGTCAAAAGATGGGGCTTTCTGCAGCACTTGTTTAAACTATATTCTTATATTGACTCCATCAGTAAGGTTGATGTGCTCTAACATATGTTTAACACAGTTCCGGTGATCACGCGGGTTGAAAAGAAAAGGGATTGAAATGTAAATGCATTCAACATATCATACAAATGTGGCTCCACTTGTCTCATTCCTAGAGAAACGGCCCCCGAAAATAGTTTAATCTCAATCCATCTTCATCGCTCTCTGGTCTTGTATAAAACTGATAATAGCGTCCCTATGTCAGAATCCATCATGCAAAGGCCAAAAAAGCTTCGTATTTTCGCCCCCGATTCAGTGTGACGAATATATGCACCACACGTGAAAGAAGCATCGCGATGCCAGATTCTAAATCCATTTTCAAATTCCTTGGATGTAATATCCGAGGAAAAAAGAAGGCGTATGCAAGACTGCGTACTAGGGAAAGGTATTCAAGGGTTTGGAGCAGCCACGAAAGAACAGAGTGTCCAATCAGATGGGCTCTTTGGTAGCAAGGGGTGTCATTCGTGGCTACTGATCTCATGGGCGCCAGCTGTGGTATTTGATTGGACTGGTTGTTGGAGACAAGGCTGTTCCCTTGCTCCGCCTGTATGGTAGTCTTACCTCTTCGATTCATGGGCAATAGTACGGGACATTAACCTCTTGGAGAGACATTAGGTAGTCTTTCCTGTTTCTTTTGTTTATGTATTACGATTCTGTGATTTGTTTGGGAGGTGTTTAGAGAGGATCTGATATTGAGCATGACGAAGGCGTAAACTGTCTATGGCGCCAACGTAAACTCGCCGTTCGGCTGGGTCAATCACATCTTTGCTTCCTATAGCGCCATTGCCATTGCGGACCGAGCCGTGTTGGTTGATCTTAAGTTTTTGATGCTTGGTCAGTGCCTAGCATTCCTTGCAAACAGTGCACAAGCTTGCCATGATGCTCTTGTCAAGTAGGGCTTGGTTGGTGACGTTTGATATATCTCCAATGAAATGCCTCGCATCCTGAGCTTTCAGTCTCATACATGTCAATGATCTTCGCAAAAAAGTGCAATGTGCATATCAACGTTCGAGATGTGACAAGCGTTAATCAAGCTACAAATCATTTCGACAAACGATGAACAGAGCCCACTGAGTTCGTTCTTTCGGTATCTCAAGTAAATACAAAGAAATCATACGCAGCGAAAGGTAGCTTGCCTATTCGACAATACAAGATGGGGATGGACTGCACCAGCCAGTGGCCGCGATGCATTTCCCAATGGCGTTAGCATGCATCTAGTTCCAGATCTGGTGTCCATCTCGCTTAGAAGCGGCGCTGCATCCAACGGCCACAAGACTCGGACCCGTCGGCGACGAGTGCGGAAGGGCTCTAAACGTGTATATCAACAGATACAAAGACAATCAATTACTTGTCATGTCCGATTGGAGCCATGGCAGCCGGCGGTGAAGACGTCGGAGAATGGCTGAAGCTTGCCCGTCGCAAAGCTTTGCTCAATGAGGAAACAACCTCCACGAATGCCCCGCGCCTAGTCTACCCACGACCACGACGACGAGGCCGAGAACGGCCCACTTATCAGGTCGACTGCTTTGGGAAATAGACTGGTTGATGTAATGGTCGATGGTATAAATACAATACGTAGTGGTAGTGCTTCTTCATCGCTTCATCAAACCTCTCTCACTTCATGCTCTGTGACGATAAGCATTGGATCTTGAACAATATGGCATCCAGCAAACACTCATACCTTGTCGTCGGTGCTGGCGTCTTCGGCATTTCGACTGCCTACCACCTTATCAAGAAGTACCCTGACCGCCAAATCACCGTTATCGATCAGGATGCTTGGGACGCCGACAGCCGCGTCGCTGCGTCGTGGGATTGGAACAAAGTTGTGCGCGCCGACTACGACGATCTCATCTACTGCAGACTTGCCCTAGAAGCTCAGGATGTCTTCAAGGAGGACCCTCTCTGGAAACCTTACTTCCATGAAACCGGCATCTTCTGGGTCTGCCGCTCAGACTACGCACAAGAAGTCATTGACAACTACAAGAAGCTTGGTCGCCAGGCCGACCTCAAGTCCGTTTCCGTTGAGGAGGCAAAGAAGATGTTTGGTGGACTTTTCGACGAAGCCAACTATGACGGCGCTAAGAGTGTGCTCGTCAACAAGACGAGTGGATGGGCACAGGCCGGTGATGCTCTAAGAGCTGTTACCAAATGGTGTATTGAGCAGGGCGTCAAGTACGTCACACAAAAGGTTGAAAGCCTGGAGTTTGACAACACCGGCCGTTGCACTGGAGTCAGGACCGAGCAAGGCAACACACTCTCAGCTACTCACGTCGTTCTCTCGACCGGTGCGTACACAGCCAAACTCCTCGAGCAGGCCGCAAAGCGAAGTGGAAATGAAAACCTCCGCGCTGGATCAAGAATCGTTGCTGGTGGTATCACAACCGGCATGACCACTCTCGATGAAAAGTCCTACGAGAGATTCAAGCACATGCCAGTTGGTGTTCAAGGCTACACAGCCGCATACGGACCCTTCATCGGCAGCTTACCGCCCACCAAGGACCGCGAGCTCAAGTGGTGGGGTGAGAAGATCTTCAAGAACACACACGAAGTCCTCCCTGGTCGCTTCGTTTCCGCACCTCCATCAGGAAAGGATTACAACCAGTGGGATGTTCCCGGTCCGCTGAAGCTAGACATTGCGCACGCCAACGATGTCTTCTACGGCAAGAAGGGCGCAAACTGGAAAATGGACAAGCACCGAATCTGCTGGTAAGTCCAAAAAGAAAGCGACTTGTCGAATCTTCGTAAACAGAAAAACAAAGAAACTAACGGATATACCCAGGGATGCCTTCACCACCTCCTCCGACTTCATCATCTCCCCACACGCTGCCGCAAAGGGCCTCTACGTCGCTACCTGCGGCTCCTTCCACGGCTACAAGTTCTTCCCCGTGCTAGGCAAGTACGTCGTGCAGATGCTCGAAGACGACCTCGAGCCCGAGCTCAAGGAGAAGTGGGCCTGGGACCGTGAAAGGCCCGCCCCAAGTCTCAACCCGGACTGGCCGCGCTTCGAGATGACGGATCTGCTGGACCAGTGGCCAAAGGCCAAGTTGTAGAGGAGTTTTCTTATGAGAAAGAGAGAGTGTGTATGTTTGCAAGAAATGGCATTTAGCGTCACGAGGTAATGATATGGCATGTGTGTTATAGTTGCATGGCGTCTCGGAGTAGATTTGGCTTGTTATCCGGTAGGATAGATGTATGAATGGATGAATGTTTTCCAGCGTTGTTTGAAGATTTATTTATTTTTTCCTCTTCTACAGTGATTTTTTTTTTCAAAGATCTGGAGCTACTAATTTTAATCAGTTGTGTGACGATTAAGCCACTAATATTCTAAAAAGCTGCTGTCACGTGGCGTAACACATACAACGCCTGTCACTTTGAGCACGGTACTGAAAATTCATGGATTAGTGTCACATAAACAGCTAAGATGAGACGGTCCAAAAGTTCCTTTTCAACTGATGTTGTCATATACATATTCGTCAAATTCCTATATATACATTGAATTTCGCCGCCAAAACCAGGCGCGTGGTGATTTCCTCGTAATTTCGCACTTTGTGCAGAAAGAAATACCGCGTTTAAGCAGTGATCTTGCTCTTGATGAAGTTGAGAGCCTGGTTGCCGTAGATGTTGACGTATTGCTGGTGGTGGTTGGCGTCGTTGCCGTTGCAGCAGTATGGGTCCTGAGAGTCGCAGTAGCTCTGGATGATGCTGCCATTGGCGGGAGAGCAGGTGAAGCCTTGGGGACGAGCGGCAAACTAATTTGATGGTTAGACTCTTGCTGATCAGCTTTTGACGATTGGGCACTTACGCCTTGGGCTCGGCAAGTGCCGACGTTGTAAGGAAGGCCGGCGCGGTTGTGTGGGTCGCCCATGAAGATGGCGGCCTTGACAGCGTTGAGAGCGTTGCCAGTAAGAGTGGCACCTGCACCACCGCAGAGTGCGTTGTCCATGATTTGGCCACCCTGTGTTTTGTTAGTACACTTCTCGTTCCAACGGCTTTGGATACTGGTGACAAACCTGAGAGTATCCAATGAGGACGATTTGGGTGCTGGGGCACTTCTGGTTGTAGGCAGTTACAGCCTTGACAACAGCCGCGGTACCTTGGGAAGCAGAGTTGTCATAGCTGATGCCACCGCAGGCTGATCCACCGCCACATGCAGGGTAGACAATGGCCTCGGAGCCAGCGCCAGGGAATGCTGACTTGACAGAGTTGACAAGACCACCAGCAGTTCCGTATCCGTTGCTTTGAGGAACAGTGGTTTCACGTGCACCGAAGATGTAGACCTTTGGGCAACTCTGGCGCTCGCTGAGTTCAACAGGGCCTGCGGCAGCAAGGCCAGCGAAGACAGCAGCAGCAGTTGCAAACTTCATTTTGATGGTGATGGTGACGGTGGTGCTTGGAGTAGTTGGAAGGTGATTGTGTGTGTGTGTGTGTGTGTGTGTGAAGAGCCTGATGATCTATACAATGCAACGAATGTACTCAGATATAAAAAGGAAGCTCTGCGTAATACGAGGCCACGACCTCTTTAGGCAGAATACCAGTCTCCTCAACTAACTTCATATTGAACAGTGGGGCCGAAAACGCTGCTTTGGTTGGTGTGGTGCACGAGTGGCCCTTTCATCCGTTGTCGCAATCTATTTGAGTAGCCATGTGTTGATGATCATGCCGGGGTTATTGCCGTTGCCGTCCTGATTTCATGCAGGACCAAGCCGCGGCAGTCTGGGGTACATGTTCGCGTTAGTATAATCGGAGAAAAAACGGTTCAAACGAGCAAATTAACGGCTGCGACGTATTAACACTGCCGGTAGCTGCTCGGTTTATATGTGGCTATGCGGTCGCGTGGCCGGCCGATGTTCCGATGTGGAGCCGGTCAACGGTGGCTAAAAGGCTGATGTTGAGACAAGCTTGATTTAAAACCTGGCCGGCCTGGGGTAAAATGCTTATGTTTGCGAAACAAAAGGGCACAGATCAATCAAGTCCAGTCACGGATGGCCTACAGTTTCCGTACGTGCGAAGAGAGCGTATATCTTGCATTGAAAGATGTGGGGGCTCATACATAACTTTCACCGCTCGACTCGTGTAGCGGTTCCTTGAACTATGCAATGCCGACTCTCTGATTGGAGTGTGCGAGTTCTAGATCGTCTCAAAGCCGTGTTGATCGGCAGGTAATTAAGAGGTACGTGTCTGTCATCCCAGGTTGTATCATACAACCAACAGCGTTACGGTTATGTCTGGAGCCTGTTCAGTAAAGCGGCAGTACAAAGTACTTGAGAGTGCAAGTCAGGCGGGAAGTCAATGTAGCCAGCATCGGGTACGGGGTAATGAGAGAATACCTAGCATAATAAGTTGTGTTGTGGTGGCAGATTTAGTGCTGACGGGTTTCACGCTAGCTGTATCCCTGGCATAGATGTTGTAGTACTATACTTACATACTAATGACAGCATCATCACCTCTATAAGCTCATGTGCGTGGCAACAATACAAATCATGGAAATAATCGCTACCTCGTAAGCTCAGCTATGAGTCGTGTGTGGGAGGTGGGAAACAGGAAAGGTGATCTCAACACGTCTCAGATGGAATGTAAAAACTTTAATCTCGGTGATATTAACTTATTTGTGACACAGCCATGTCCGAACACGCACGCGTACATGTTGTGAAACAAGACAAAAACTGAATATTGCGACTAGGGCCCGATTTTGGAACGTCTTCAATCGGAATACATCTTCTGTCTTGCCTTCCTACTGTTGGTGAGCCAACTGGAAAGACCAGAATATTCGAGAGAAACAGACTGTCAAGATTGCGATTGCAGGTTCCATGCTACTATGTCTTTTGCAAATGCCTCGATCTCGACTATCTCGTCAAGAACATCTCTAATCACCTGCTGCATGCCTTTCTCCTCGAGCACTATGACCTGCTAACGGAAAGATGTCTTGGCCAGCAAGCACTACCAAGTTTCTTACTGCAGCCTTGTACTCCGCAATGCACAGAGAGAGTAGCAATGGTATTCCAAGTGGAAACTGAGCTTCCGGGTAATCCGGGGCAGCAGTCAATTGTGTGAGCAGGAAGCATTCCTCAATCAGACCTGTCCGTGACGTAGTTTCAGTAGGGAGGTTGAAAACAGCTTTCAAATAATTGATTGTGCAGTTTTTTGTAAGAATTCTTTTGGGATTACGTGCGTACGGCGGATCATTACATTCTCGGCTGACTTCAGGGGCAGGGTGATGGAAAACAACAGGCGCGTAAGGACCATTCGCTACTATTGACACAACATAAGCGACACGAATTGATGTACAAAAGTTCGAGCACCTTTAGAATACGCTGAAAAATATTCTCAAAATGCAAAATCGTAGATACAAGACTATTTTGGTAAGGCGGGTGCCAGCTGTAGACTCAGCCAAGCCGCTAGTCCTATGACGCTCTAGTGCATATCAGCGTCTATCATACAACCACACCGACTTCAACCTTCTGACCCTACATATACGAAACCAATTCAAGCAGGACTTGAAAATAAATCAACAACATGCTTCCACCAGTCGATCCAGCTGTGCTGCAGCGCAATCCGAATTTCGAAATCTTGTATAAAGATCTTTGCACTAGGAAGCTTAATCACAATGGCTCGACACGGGAGACGAAGAAGCAGCGCGTGCATGATGAGATTCGCAGGGTATGATCATGTTTATATTAACTTTTGAAACATTACTCTTATATCTCATACTGGCCATCTTTTTAACTCTGTTTCTCAAAATCTATCTTCAACTTCATGTTGGTTTCTTTGTTTACACCCAACATCGACAATGTGCATACTAAGCCCATCTATTCATGTGCAGCAGTATCAAAGTCAAAAATCATCAATTGTTTACAGAACAAGATATACACTAACTATATCCGTAGGCCCTATCCGCAGCCCGCACATCCCTCCTCACAACCCAAATCCTCATCGACACCCTCTCGGACCTCCCCTTCAAAGCAGCCGACCTCCCGCCAGAACTGCACTCTCTAATCGACATCGCAACCGCCCAACTCCGCGGCCAAATCCCCGCTGCAGACCGCGAAATCCTCTCTGCAGACCTCGACGCCTTTTTAGCAAACAGCGACATAATTAGCGACGCGCTCTCCACCCAACTCAGCAAAACAACGACGCACCTCTGTAACATCGCCGACCCGCTCCAACCCCCAGCCCCTGCAGACCTCAGCGCAAGAGCAAACGCGCTGCAAACCGAAGCTACGCTCACTCTGCCTGACGAACTCCAATCCGCACACCTCCATCTAACCCACAGCTTCACCGTGCTCCTAGCCACGCACTCCACCCTCCTCACCACCGCCATCAAGATCCTCGAGCAAACGCAACAAGGCGCCCTAGCCCGGCACACGCGCTCCTCGGCCGACCTGTTGCACGCACGCTCCGTACTGCTCGGGCTGCAGGCCAAAATCCACACGTACAGCCATGCCCCGCCTGCCGAGTTCGTCGATGCCCTCCGCCAGTTCAAGAAGAGTCAGGGGTCCGGCGAGAAGGCGCTGAGGGATCGCGAGGCGCTGGCCCAGAGGGAGCTCCAACTTTACGAGCGTGCGGGCGAGAAGGGGATGAAGGAGTTGGCGAGGAGGAAGGAGTGGATTTTGGCAGAGGTGCAGAGGGTTGAGGATGAGGTGAGCAAGCTGGAACGAGGAGGGTGAAGGGGAGGGGAGGGGGGGTTTGGCCCCAACGTTTTGAGAGATGTGAACATGTTTGCATTTATTCAAGTTTTTTGCAACAAGTCAACTCTTGAATGCAATCAATGTTTTGTTTTATTTATTATTTAATTTTTTTTTGTACTGCTTGTTCAAAAGAAACCAAAAAAAAACTATGGAGATTTTTCACTCGAATATAGGCTTCACGGCAACAGCCTTGTACTGCTCATCCAGAATCTCTCCGTCGCACTCACGCGACCCACTCCAAATCTTCTTGGCACCCATTTCGCATATACAGACTCTATCTATGCGCACATCACGCGCCCATACAAAGCCCTTGTACTTCTCAATCAGATTTGTCGCATCGAGTCGCATCCAGCTCTTTCCATCGGGGCCGTGGCCTTCGCCTGTTGCGGGCTGGGCTTGATCTTGATCACCATCTGCCGAGTCCACCGTTGATGCACCATCCTCATCACCTTCATCGTGGTGAGCGTCACCATCTTGTCGGTGATGAGGCGAAACCTTGTGTTCAATCTGCTTCAGCCCGTGTTTGAATTTTGAAGGTTTTGATCGTCCTCTTCCGCGCTTGGGCTTTGCATAGATGGTATTCATGATGGTAGCGTGAAGCTTCAGCGGTCTTGTATCTGCAACTAGGAGCCCTGCTTCTGTGAACTGCTGTCTCAATGCAGAGGCAAACAAAGGTAGACGCAGAGTTGGATCCCGAGGCTCAGCGTAGAGAATACTCGTTCTGTTTGGTGCTTGCATTGGCACCAGAGCTTCTAAGTTGATGGTCAAGGCATCGGTATCTGGCATTGCTGCAGGAACAAGGTTTTCTCCTATTATTCCATCCTCGGCAGCCTTCTCTGCTATGCGACGGTGGCTGATATCGCGGAGTAGAGCGTGCACATCCAAGTCTTGCAGGTACTGTTTGGCTTTTTCCAGCTCCTTGGCATCCAGGCTCATTACTCCCAAAGTAAGATGTAGTGTACCTACTGGTCGCACTGCCTTGGTGGGTACTGGGCTATCGCTTGCTAGGTCTTCTTTGAACTGATTCAGTCCTTCTTGGAGCTGCGGCCTACTGGCATCTGTGACAAGTGGCAGACACAAAAAGTGGGTGAGCGGAGGTTTCTTTGCTCCACCCTTGCCGTTCTTCCCGCTTCCTCGTGCATGCTGGCTGGTAGGTACAGATGAAAAGTCTTGCGTTGCAGATCCTTGTAGCGATGTTCTGATTTCCGTGTTGTCGCGCAGTTTCTCGCCATCTAGAAAGTCGTTGTAGTCGCTTCTTGACTTTTTCTTGCCCATGATTGGCGACGAGCTGTAAAACCGGGTATCTAGAAGCTGATTTGGTAGCTGCTGTGTAAGGATAGAGGCAGGAGCTGCGCTTGCAGCTGCAACAGTAATGCAACAGTTGATTGGCCCAGGAGCAGCTCGACGCAAGATCGTCGCAGCAACCAGCATAAGAGGTCGGCTACGTTGAGTAGAAGAACGGACAACCCAGCAAGCAGATTCAAAGTAGATGTAAAAATAAAACAAAACAAAGAATCAGCAGCGCTTAATCGGATATTCGACAAGACCAGCAACAGGGCCGGTAGCGCTCGGGAAAAGTCCAGTCAAAAAGGGCGCCTAGCCAAGGATAACAAAGGTGCTTTTGATGTTGAGCGTTCATGGGTTAGCCTGGTGGCCTATCATCGGGCCTCTGCATGAGCGACGAGTGACGTAGGCCCCAAGGTGGGGTGACTGACAGGCGCCGCTGCAGCCTTCGCCGCCACTTCGTCTCAAGCGCGTTAGGCGTTCGGCCCTTTGCTATGCAGCGCTCGGTAGGGCTGAAACATCTATGTACTACGGCGCATAGGCAGCGTGCACATCACAAGAAATTGACCTCGTTTGCCTTTTTGAACAGCGTCCAAGTCTAACACATTCCAACTTGGAAATATCAATAAGCCGAGTTGGGGCCAACTATTTAGAGTGCAACCTACCCAACATTGGCATATAGACAATAAAACAGCCCTAGAAACTCAACACAAGGATGCAACATAGGAAGAGGATTCGTTACAAAAAGTTTGGAGCGTGGCAGTAGGTAGGGCAGGAGGACCAGAGTCGTGCAGCGCTCGTCGAAGCCGAACGATCTGGAGCTTGCCTGCCGTAGACGCCACAAGTACCCCGCGGATGAGCATGACGAGTGCGAGACGGGTTGCTCGCGCCATTGCTCTCTGGCGGTGGCAGGCCCCCCTCAAGCTTCATCGTCGTCTTTGTAGAACTCCTTGAGGATGTCCTTGACGTCTGCAAACTCCTTCTTGGCCTGCTTGATGATCTTGCCCAAGTTCTCCTGAGCCTGCTCTTCTGTAATGTCCTTTGTGCCTGCATCGTCCTTCAATTGGCCGTAATGTTGGATCTTCTCGCACGAGTCCTTGACTTTGGTGAGGCCGAGCGTGGCGGACGAGCCCTTGAGGAAATGGCCGAGCTCACTAAGCTCCTTGAGGTACTTGCCCTCTTTCTTTTCTCTGTGTCGTGTGTTAGCCGTGGCACTGTGAGGCGAGGCGGGTGCGCCGTGCGGGGAAGGGCAGAGCGTGGGCGGAAGTGTGGCGTCACCATGAAGGCGCGCGGCGGGCGGGCACTCACAGCTCCTTGTCCATCTTCTTGAAAGTCTGGTCTGCCTGGCCAAAGAAGTCGTAGACGATGCTTTTGCTGAACTCGCGCTCCTCCTCGTCCTCGTCCATCTCGAGAATCTGCTCAAAGGTGGCAGGGTCGATCTGGTCCTCGGCGCCGGGAATCGACATGATGTCGCCGTTCTGCTGGTAGAAAGGATTAGGTTAGGAGGTGAAGATTGCGCAGCGCGGTAGTGGGGATGCAAAGTGGGCAAGGCAGGAACAGAAGGGCAAGTGGGCAAGGGAGAGAGACACGTGCTGGGGCGTGGGCAGGACATGGGATGGTGGGGTTCGAGGCAAGGGCATGTGGAGGGACGAGGGGCAGAGGGGCACACGAACCTGGGCGTCGGTAGTCGACATGTTTGCTCAAGACCAGACGGCGAAGGCGATGGGGCAGAGGAGGTGGTGAATCCGGACGACGACGAAGCTGTCGACACCGTATGGGCCTGGTGTCGCAGCGAAGAGCAACTATTGGGGGCGCGAACGGATATTTTTTCGCGCCTCAGCAGTGGGCCGTGCGGCTGTCGGATTCACCTGCGGGGGCTGGATCGGGCTTAGTGGGCGACTGAAAAGGGTCGGCCCGTGGGTGTTGTTGTGAGCGCCGTTGCTAGAGCTGAGGACGTTGTCCAAGGGTCAGTGTCTAGGGACGATGCAGGGTGGGCAATCGAGGGTGTCTCAGACTGCGACTGCCGAACTACTACGCACACGAAGGGAGACTAAGTCGCACCTCTAGACCGTTAGTTCGTATTGCTTCCACGGGGCCGGGTGCTGGGCGAAGCAGATGCAGCTATGCTATGCTCGTCACAGGCAGAATGGGGTCCGGAGTGGGCGGTGGGTGGGATGGTAAGAGGAAAGCAGTTTTGGCAGCAATGGTCACGGGAATGTGGCTCATATACGGGCGGCCAGTGTTCTAGAAGGTGAGGGTTGCGATGTTTGCATCACTGCAAAAAGAGAGGAGGGGGGGAGAGGGGCAGAAGGGGGGGGGGCACGGGATGAGCAGTGGAATAAGGGCTCGATACATGCGGGTGGATACCTCGACGTCAATCGGCAGCCATTCACTTGCCGTTGATCGCCTGTTACGAAGCCGTCGTCTACTACTACTCTCTTCCTGGCGGCTGACTGGAGACTACCACCACCCTCGCACTCACAGTCATCGGGTTCCCGGCCAAGGGCAATGCACCGCACCCAAGTCGTGTGGAGTCGTGGCCTCTGACCTGGCATGTTGCCTGCACCGCCGTGTGCCTCTGCGGCTGATGAGGCTAGCCGAAGCCGTGGCTCCTACCGCCCTGCTCCGTCGGGAGAGCCGTTGAACACGCCCTCAACGCTGAAGAGAAGAGGAGAGAAGTCGAGGGTGCGCCAAGAAGGTCTGGAAGCGGTTCGAAAGCGTTTTCTCCGCGGTTGAAACTCTCGAGGCGGGGTGCCAGCATAGGAATATAAACACAGACGAGGGTTGGGTTTTTTTCGCTTCACGACAAACGACGTCACATTGTAAGCTGTCGTCATTGCGCATGGGCTTTTGTCAGACCCTGAATTGGGGCTTGCTGGCTTGAGCTAGCCACTCGACACGGCGTGCAGCCGCCGTTTGGCCCTACCCTCTTGCCTGTCGATGTATCTACGTCTACTGCATACGTACAGGGCTTGTTCTCTCCAACCTGACGGCCATGTACGTACATCACGCAAGCCACAGACACCGTCTCGCCAAAAAAAAAACAAAGCGATGCCATAGGGCCGGGCACGAAACCCACACACACGACAGGCCTGCCCCATGGACCCTGGTTATGGTTTTTCCGTCCAAACCTGCGTCATGCGTGATTCATGCTCTTCCGGCCTTGTCCGGAATGCAATAGGCTGCTGCTGTCTCGTTGCCAACAGCTAGTCCACTCTCAAGCAAATGGCGAGCGGAGGGCGGCATGGAGACGCCCAGCATCAGCCTCGATGAGGTTTGGTGTGCACGACAGCGGACGCCCTGGCCATTGCAGCGCTGCAGGGTAAACGAGTGGAGCAATTCTGGCTACAGTCTGATTGGTGCGAGTATGCTTGGTAAACCATGCGTTGAGCGGTACCCGGCCAGTTTTTTTGTTGACCACAAGCTCACCAAGCCTGGCCGGTTTGCATTTCTTCTATGTCAAACAATGACTCAACAAGTCTGCGAACCGGCAAGGCTGCAAATAACCGTACTTGTAGTAACTCGCCCTAGGCAGGCAGCGAAGTCGGCCACACGCTTGTCACTTGCACGCGAGCAGTAGGTCGAAGCTTTCGGGAACTAACTAGCGCCATCACTGTCTATACTACCACACAGCAGCCCCCTCATACACGGAAGGGATCTTCACCCACCCTCCATCATCTCACCGCAAATAGCCAACCACGTGCCATCTGTGGAGGCTTCAGTGAGCAAACACTCAATCCTCGGTGAAGGATTCCAAGCTTTAGTGCAATGCTTCAGATCGACCGATTCGATCCCAAGAGACAGAAAAAAGACACGAGCACACCCCAAGGATCGAAAAGACATGTCATTTTTCGTATACACATGTACACATTTCATAATCTAGCCGCTCAATGCAGCCGCCGGATCATGCACGGCAGCCGTGAGCCGACCAAAGAGCCCGCCATCGCCTTGCTTAACCCTTGACCTTGTAAATAGCCTCTGCAAGGCGTCCGACGTTTTCGCTAGTGATACCAGCGACCGAGATGCGGCCGTCCTTGGTGGCATAGACCGAGTGCTGTTACGTTAGCTGGGTCTAGTACCGTCTGGCACGTGGTCTTCAACTTACCTCCTTTGCCAGCTTGTCCATCTGCTCCGCTGTCAGACCCGTGTAGGCGAACATGCCAATTTGCGATGTGATGTGGCTCCAGTCGTGCTTGCTTCCGAGCTTCTCGAGGTTTTCCTTGAGCAGAGCGCGCATGGTGATGATGCGGTCAGCCATTCCCTTGACTTCGCCAAGCCATTGCTTGTTGAGCGAGGCGTCATTGAGAATCTCAGAGGCAATGCGGGCGCCGTGAACTGGCGGGTTAGAGTACAATGGGCGGACAAGGATCTTGATCTGTGAGTCGACGCGCTTCTTCTCCTCGGCAGATTCGCAAACAACAGAGAAGGCACCCACACGCTCGCCATACAGGCCCATGTTCTTGGCAAACGACTGGGCCAGGACGGGGCGGAGACCCTCCTTGATGAAGTGACGGAGGGCAAAGGCGTCCTTGCTCGTGTCACCACTGGCAAAGCCCTGGTAGGCCATGTCAAAGAAGGGGAAGTGATCACCCTCCTTGACAGCATCAGCAATCTTGGTCCACTGCTCCTCGGTGGGGTCGACACCAGTGGGGTTGTGCGCGCAGGCGTGGAGCAGGACAATGCTGTTCTTGGGCATGGCCTTGATGTCGGCAATCATTCCCTCGAAGTCGAGGCCAATTGTGTCCTTGTTGTAGTAGCGATACTTCTCGACCTTGAGACCTGAGTCCTTGAAGACGGCATTGTGGTTGGCCCATGACGGTGTGGGAATGTAGATGGTCTTGGGGCCAGGGTAGTGGCGCTCGAGGAAGGCGCCGCCAATGCGCAGGGCGCCAGTACCTGAAATGGACTGGGTGACGGCGATGCAGTCCTCGCTGAGGGGCTTCGAATCGGCGCCATATGCGAGCTTGAGAGCAGCCTTTGTGAAGTTGGGT